TATATTAAATTAATTTTTTTTTTGTTAACATTCCAATATTAATTCAATTTAATACATTAAATTTGATATAGAAAAATAAAATTATTCATTTATTAAAAATAAAATAAGAAATTACAATTATTGTCTCATTAAAAACCTCCAAAGAAAACCCATGGGATAAAAACTTGTAAGGAAAAAGAGTGCAATAATTGACATTAATTGACAAGTTACAATTTATAAAACAACTAATTTGGTTCACTAGGACCTCCCTCATCCGTATCATATTACAAAATTGAAATAATTCTATTAAAGTATCGTCGACAACCTCGTATTGACCTTGATGGCGAGACCGTTCCCATCTCGAAGACATGTGAGGACTTCAATCATTTTTGTAAAGTTTAGTCCTCCTTTCATTTAAAATTCTTCCACTTGCACTAAATGTTTGTTCGGATGAGACGTTGAGACAGGAACAGCGAAAACATCCAAGGTAAGTCTTGATAATACCAGAAAAATACATTTTCTAGCTCTCCAATATCTAAGAGATCAATGTTGACTCTCTGTTGTGGATCTACTGGTAACATTTCAGGGGTTGCCAAATATTGTTGAACTCATTACTCTGCGACTGTATGGAAGACAATACATTAGTTATTGTTGTTGGTGGAGCTTCTGAAGAGGAAGCTGTGCTTCGATTCGGGTCCTCTTCGGCCTATTCAGTGCACCCCAGAGTAGAAGTCTTCATTTGTTTCTTCTGATGCAGCTTCCTTGGATGTTTCGCCTCTTTGCGGGTTCCTATACTTGTTTCATATTGGAAATATACTTCAAAAGTCTATTTTACCTTCTCTCCTCTCCTATTTGTTTGCATATACTTCGATTTGTAAATTTTCCATAAATTGTCAAACCATTTTCAACCTGCTAATTTAATCTAAGATCAAATATAGCACCTAAACAATAAAGAAGAATGGGTTCCCAATATTTAAAAAAAAAAATTCCATTGTCTTTATTGGTGCATTTAAATTTCATTGTCTTGTTTTTATAAATACTCGACTTTTATAATTGTATTATTACCAATAGACTATAGGATAATACACACCAGAAAGTTTAAAGTGGATTGGTAAAAAAATTTAAGAAAAGAATGAATACTTTAGCTATTTGCCAATCATTTTCTATCAAATAATGAGGACTCTATTATTTGCTACAAAATAACTAATTATATAGCATAAGTAGAAATATGAATCAAGCATTAAATAAGTACTATCCCTCTAATATGCAGTCTAATGCAAAAGTTCTAGGAAACATATTTGATTTTATACAAGTGTCTTGAAATTCAACATTTCTTTTATTACTACTAGTAATCCAAGCTAAACAATCTCTAATTCTATTATTTTTCTTATTGTTTTCATACGACTTTTCACAATTAATTAATAACATGGCATGCCACATTGGGGAAAAAACTTCAAATTGTTATATAAAGGAAATTCTTTGAAAATAATCTATAGCTTTACATTAGAACTTGCATTATCTAAAGTAAACTTATCATTTTACTAATATATAATCTTCTAAAATTTTAACAATTTTATTATAATTTGTTCACCCTATGATCAACATCTATAATCTAAATCCTAATAAAGATTTTTAATTTACATTCATTATCAAATAATGACTAGTCACAAATATAATCTTGTTTAGCTCTACCACTCCAAATATCGGTAATTAGAGCCACACTAACATGACAAGCATGTATTTTTATTTTTAATTCTAATTTCATTTTTCTAACAATTTTATTAAATCATTTCTAGTTGCAGTTTTGAATAACTTTTAAATCCTAGAAAAAATGAATTTTGAACAAATCTTTCAAAATATTTATCTTCAGCCATATAAATAGATTGATCAGTTGCAGCAATATATAAAGCAACTGTTCCCTATATAATCAGAATTATAACGCCAGTAGTACCCAATTAGTTATTTGATTTGACCGTTTTCTCTATTTCATGTTGATTAATATGTTTATTACATGTCTTTTTAAGTACTAGTACCATTACCTGAACCAGCTTTATAAATATTTTCACAGTATTTGCATCTCACTTTCTTGACTTGAACGCATTTTCTGCCTCATAAAACTTGTCGAAATGCGCCCAAACGTCTGATGTGTGTCTGTCTTCGGTTTCGACGGCAGTTTGATCTCGCCTTAGCTTGAGATGAAGTTGGACGAGCACGATGATACAAGGATAACTTCTAGAACCACCGAGAGCTTTGGAATTGGGGACATATTTTGAGGTGTATCGGATTCTGAGATGGGAAAGCGGGACTATTTGAATCTCCTTCTGCATTTATGTTAGCAAAATCAGCAGGACTAGGATATAGTAGTTTCCTTCATCATTGTAATTATGGAGAGAAATATCTATCCTGTAGTTGAAAAAAAAATGATGTAGAAAAAATAAAATTAAAGAAAGAGAATTGGAATATGGATTTGGAATTTGGAAAATTGGAAATATGAATTAAAAATTGCAAAAACTAATAAAAATTAAAATATGGCAAATGAATAACAAAGAGATTAAGAGAATAAATGAATAATTGAGAGATTAGAGATTAAGAACATGAGAGATGAGAAATTTGAGGTGTGAGAAAAATGTGAGAGTTTAGGGCCAATTTATAGAAAAAAAAAAAAAAGGGAAAGGAAAATGACCAAAAAAACCCCTCCACAGCTATAAAACGGCTATTTTTTAAGAGTAAAGAGGTAATTTGAACAAACAAATTAAATTTTTTATTTTTTTTAATTTTTTTCGGCTAACCCGTGAGTCAACCCGATAGGTTGACCATTATTATATAACATTCAACCCACCGGGTTGACACAGCCAACCCGATGGGTTAGCGGTCTCTCTAAAAGAGACAAAATAGCAATCTATCGGTCGATAAGTTGTCATTTTGCAACCCAGCTTGCCCGAGGGGTTACTACCAGTTAGGTTCAACCCAACCATCATATTAGTGACCTGGGTTTAACCTCTCTTATTACGACTAGGTTAGAGTTGACGTGCCTAAACCGACTATTTGTTCCACCTCTAATTGAGAACATGTAATATAAGAATGAGTGGGACCTAGTTTAATAAACATTAAGGTAGAGATAGAAAGATGTGGATTGTTAGGTGGGTCGGCGTTCTGTTGGCCGAGATGTGGGACCCATTGCCGTCACTTTCTTTTCTTATCAAAAATCAAATGCAGCGTATTCTACACGCAAATGTCCCTTCACTTCTTCTTTAGCAGAAAAAATTGACAAATATTATTTCATTCTTATGTTTTGGTTAATATTCTAACACTCCGTAAATTTTTTTGAGAGGACCTACTCTCTTCTTTTAACTCATTTAAGATATATTATATGGTTTTGTTATTAAGATTTTTGTTACGATTTCTACAACAAAATAACTCTATAACCCTTTCAATGTTATGTCTACAGTTTTTGACACATGAATACAATTATCTTTAAAGTCAAGAGTGATTCATTGAGCTATTCTATGCCTAAAAAAGATTTAACCCAACGCTTAAGTCTATATGTTAAATGTTCTTTTTAGAACTAAAAAGAAATTAAGAGTTGAGAGCAAGAGTTTCTCATGATATAAACACAGAAAAACTCGTACACCTAAAGAGCGAATAGCTCAATAATTGAAAAGTGATTCTAAATGTACGATACAATTCTTAATTTTGAGTTGTATTATTATTTGTTTTCAATTTTAAAAATTTTATTAATATTAATTTTTTTCTCATATTAAAAATGCTAAAATTATTTTTAAACATTTCAACCCGACACATTTTTCTTATATTTTCAATACCATTTTCTAAAATAAAAGTTTATACTTAATTAATAAACCAAATGAAAGTAACCTAACAAAAATAATGAAAAAGGGTGTTAATAATATATCTAATAGTATAGGAGTTCATGGTGATTATAAAACTATCAGGGGATTCAAAACTATCCTGGGAATAATAACTCTTGTCCATTGGTGTGTACAAAACTGACACTCGTGGTCCAAGCTCCATCAATTACATAATATGTGAACGAAGGATTATAATATAATTTCACAATAATAAAAAGATGGCCCGCCAAAGGAGCCACATGGAAGCTACACTTATAAAAACAAGTTACTGGACCAGCTTGTTCGCCAAGTTATCTTCAGCTTCCAATTTTGACTAGTCAAACCTCCTAAACCATGTAACCAATAGCCACATCTCCATCGACCCTCCCATTGATGACGTATTCCTCACATATTATTGCTGTATATATATTTAAATTTTTAATTAATATTATTTGTAAATATAGTCTATATATAGATAAATCTATATTCTTTTGGTTTGCTAATATGGTTAATACTACAAAAAAAATCCCACATTTCAAACCTTATATTCTACTTCGAAATAATTTTTTTAAGAATTTTCATAAATTTTTCTTGATTTTAATATTTAAGTGTTATAAATTGAATAATAAGATCTCAACTTAATATAATTAATAATGTGACAATACCATAATATAACAAGTCTTATGATTAATATAAATTATAACAATAAACTTGTGAAAGTTTTGTGGAATGGTCAAGCCTATGGTTTACTCTTATAAAAATTGTGAGTCAAGTCTATGGTTTATTCTTATAAAAATCGTGAGTGGAACCATACATTTACGGTCAAGACTTTTGTGTCAATTATAAAATTAAAACCGTAAATTAACCTTATATTTTGTTTATATATTGGAATGTGAAGATAACAAAAAGACTTTAAACAACAATTTTCCTTTTCCAAGAAAATATTTTCACCAACATATTTCATACAAAAAGTGAATCGAGGCTTCTCTAGTTATGGCAAAGAGAGGCCACAAAGCAATCAAAAAATAAGTATTAGAGACTTCTATGCCCTACACTTTTGTGAATATACAAATCCAAATGAAGTAAAAATATACAACAACAAAGAAACTGAATATAAAAATTAATCAACAAATGAACCTGAACTTCTTGCTCTTCTTATTCTAATTAAACACTAATTCAATATAGCAATGACTCAAAGAACATGTCATCCCTTGGTTCATCCTTGGCTCTTGACATCAAATTGTCCGTGGCTTGTGCCTCATTCATGTAATTTCCGAAACCTGAAAATCCGAAGCCCCCAGGGGTTTGCAACATTTCCAGAGTGAAGGGTGCTTGGCCTTCTGATGATGGTTGCCTCAAATTGCGAAGAGGATTGTTGATGGAGTTATTAGTGTGATGGTTCACAGTTGGAACCCTCATTGGCATGGCTGCATTGGTGTTATTGTTGTTGTTACTGTTGTCCGGCAACACCCGACTGCCGCTTCCACGAGCTGCCGGAACGTCGTGGTTGTGCTTCCCCTCATAGGTTGTGATCACTGCTCTGAGATCATGAGATGCTCTCTCAACATGCTTTCTCACAGGACACCCTGGATTTGTACACTTGTAGTAGCTCCTGAAAGTAAAATGATTTATTAGGCAACAAAACGAATCAGGACTGCTGTGCTCTGAGCTCCACTATTTGAGGTGGATAAGAGATAAATCTAAAGAGTGTCCCGGGCGTTTCATTGAAATTCGAATAAAGAAAAGAGCTAAGTTCATAATTACATTTGGTTTAAAAAGTGAATCCCAAAACTTAGGATGAAACAAGATGCAAAGTAGCTTTAAGTAACTGTTAAGAATAAAGCATTCCCTTTACAGGCAACTTTAAATATAATCCATTTTGTGAGATACATAAAGTACTGACATTTTATGAATAATGTCTTTCCTATGTATTGCATTCAAGCAATGAAAAAACATTATGTTATAAAATGGAAGTGAAATTTACCTTGGATTTGGATTCCCTTTAACAACTTTCTGTCCATATTTCCTCCATCTATATCCATCATCTAGAATATCAATGTCACTTGTTGTTTGAACCACAACTCTGGGCTCTCTCACTGTTCTACTTCCAGGAGCTGAAATGCCTTCATTTTCCACAGTTTTCCTGAATATAAGTAAATGAAAATTAAGATTAATTATCATCTCAAACAAGTTCACCACATAATTAATTGTTTCTAAATTTACCATCTTTTGGCCTCGGGTTCATCATCTTCAAACTCATCTCCTCCAGATTTACTCTTCTGTGATCCCCGATCGAAATCGTCATCCCCGACCGATATTGAAGAATTCTCCGGGGTTGCGACAGAATCCATTTGTCCACTGCCGTGTGTGGCAAGTGATTGATCCGGGACTTCACCAGAAAGTTGAACTGCATTAGAACTAACCGATGAAGACGATGATCGCCTTGTCGATTGAGGCTTCAGATGATTGTGACTACCCTTGTAAACAATCTCAGTTATTTGTCCATCTAAAGATCTCTCAACCTTCTTCTTTGTTGGACAATTGGGGTAAGTACACTTGTAATAACTTCTTGGATTTTCACTTCCCTTCACTTGTTTTTGTCCATATTTTCTCCAATTATATCCATCATCAGATTTTCTACCCTCCCTAATGGACTGACCCGGCTGATGGTAGTTCCCATATTCTGATTGGAACCCATTATTGCTTTGGTTGCTGTTGGTTTGAAGAGTTGCAATCTCAGGGGAAAACCTCTGCATCGAAGACGCGTATTCGGATTTCACATCCTGCTTTGTTGATTCTTGGTAGCTCCATTGTTGTTGTTGCTGGGGCGGTGGTGGTGCCTGTGAAGAAAAGAACAAATTTAAGAGCAACAAATTAAAAAAAAAAAAAAAAAAGGGGATAAGAAAAGAGAGAAAATTGAGTTAATTTACATACAGTTGTAACAGTGATTGTAGAAGATTGAAACATGGTTGAGTTGGGTTTTGTTTGTGTCTGGAAAGAGAAATCAGAGAAGTTTTGATCTTCTTTTTTGACATTTTGCTGATTGTTTCCAGAATTGGTCTTCCAATTGAAGGCTTGAGATGGAAATGTTCCTGTTGTTGGAGATGCCAAAATCTGTACACATAAACCAAAATATGCCAACAAAGTTTAATTTTGAGTTGTATTATTATTTGTTTTCAAATTTTAAAAATTTTATTATAATATTTAATTTTTTTCTCATATTTAAAAATTGCTAAAATTATTTTTAAACATTTCAACCCGACACATTTTTCTTATATTTTCAATACCATTTTCTAAAATAAAAAGTTTATACTTTAAATTATAAACCAAATGAAAGTAACCTAACAAAAATATAATGAAAAGGGTGTTAATAATATATCTAATAGTATAGGGAGTTCATGGTGATTATAAAACTATCAGGGGATGTCAAAAACTATCCTGGGAATAAATAACTCTTGTCCTTATTATGTAAGTGTACAAAACTGACACTCGTGGTCCAAGGCTCCATCAATTACATAATAATGTGAACGAAGGATTATAATATAATTTCACAATAATAAAAAGATGGCCCGCCAAAGGGAGCCACATGGAAGCTACACTTATAAAAAACAAGTTACTGGACCAGCTTGTTCGCCAAGTTATCTTCAGCTTCCAATTTTGACTAGTCAAACCTCCTAAACCATGTAACCAATAGCCACATCTCCATCAGACCCTCACCATTGATGACGTATATCCTCACATATTATTGCGTATAATATATTATAAAATTTTAAATTAATATTATTTTGTAAATATAGTCTATATATAGAGATAAATCTATATTCTTTTGGTTTGCTAATATAGGTTAATACTACAAAAAAAATCCCACATTTCAAAACTTATATTCTACTTCGAAATAATTTTTTTAAGAATTTTCATAAATTTTTCTTGATTTTAATATTTAAGTGTTATAAATTGAATAATAAGATCTCAACTTAATATAATTAATAATGTGACAATACCAAAATATAACAAGTCTTATGATTAATATAAATTATAACAATAAACTTGTGAAAGTTTTATGGAATGGTCAAGTCTATGGTCTACTCTTATAAAAATTGTGAGTCAAGTCTATGGTTCATTCTTATAAAAATCGTGAGTCGAACCATACATTTACGGTCTAGACTTTTGTGTCAATTATAACATTAAAACCATAAAATAACCTTATATTTTGTTTATATACTGGAATGTGAAGATAACAAAAAGACTTCAAACAACAATTTTCCTTTTCCAAGAAAATATTTTCACCAACATATTTCATACAAAAAGTGAATTGAGGCTTCTCTAGTTATGGCAAAGAGAGGCCACAAAGCAATCAAAAAATAAGTATTAGAGACTTCTATGCCCTACACTTTTGTGAATATACATATCCAAATGAAGTAAAAATATACAACAACAAAGAAACTGAATATAAAAATTAATCAACAAATGAACCTGAACTTCTTGCTCTTCTTATTCTAATTAAACACTAATTCAATATAGCAATGACTCAAAGAACATGTCATCCCTTGGTTCATCCTTGGCTCTTGACATCAAATTGTCTGTGGCTTGTGCCTCATTCATGTAATTTCCGAAACCTGAAAATCCGAAGCCCCCAGGGGTTTGCAACATTTCCAGAGTGAAGGGTGCTTGGCCTTCTGATGATGGTTGCCTCAAATTGCGAAGAGGATTGTTGATGGAGTTATTAGTGTGATGGTTCACAGTTGGAACCCTCATTGGCATGGCTGCATTGGTGTTATTGTTGTTGTTACTGTTGTCCGGCAACACCCGACTGCCGCTTCCACGAGCTGCCGGAACGTCGTGGTTGTGCTTCCCCTCATAGGTTGTGATCACTGCTCTGAGATCATGAGATGCTCTCTCAACATGCTTTCTCACAGGACACCCTGGATTTGTACACTTGTAGTAGCTCCTGAAAGTAAAATGATTTATTAGGCAACAAAACGAATCAGGACTGCTGTGCTCTGAGCTCCACTATTTGAGGTGGATAAGAGATAAATCTAAAGAGTGTCCCGGGCGTTTCATTGAAATTCGAATAAAGAAAAGAGCTAAGTTCATAATTACATTTGGTTTAAAAAGTGAATCCCAAAACTTGGGATGAAACAAGATGCAAAGTAGCTTTAAGTAACTGTTAAGAATAAAGCATTCCCTTTACAGGCAACTTTAAATATAATCCATTTTGTGAGATACATAAAGTACTGACATTTTATGAATAATGTCTTTCCTATGTATTGCATTCAAGCAATGAAAAAACATTATGTTATAAAATGGAAGTGAAATTTACCTTGGATTTGGATTCCCTTTAACAACTTTCTGTCCATATTTCCTCCATCTATATCCATCATCTAGAATATCAATGTCACTTGTTGTTTGAACCACAACTCTGGGCTCTCTCACTGTTCTACTTCCAGGAGCTGAAATGCCTTCATTTTCCACAGTTTTCCTGAATATAAGTAAATGAAAATTAAGATTAATTATCATCTCAAACAAGTTCACCACATAATTAATTGTTTCTAAATTTACCATCTTTTGGCCTCGGGTTCATCATCTTCAAACTCATCTCCTCCAGATTTACTCTTCTGTGATCCCCGATCGAAATCGTCATCCCCGACCGATATTGAAGAATTCTCCGGGGTTGCGACAGAATCCATTTGTCCACTGCCGTGTGTGGCAAGTGATTGATCCGGGACTTCACCAGAAAGTTGAACTGCATTAGAACTAACCGATGAAGACGATGATCGCCTTGTCGATTGAGGCTTCAGATGATTGTGACTACCCTTGTAAACAATCTCAGTTATTTGTCCATCTAAAGATCTCTCAACCTTCTTCTTTGTTGGACAATTGGGGTAAGTACACTTGTAATAACTTCTTGGATTTTCACTTCCCTTCACTTGTTTTTGTCCATATTTTCTCCAATTATATCCATCATCAGATTTTCTACCCTCCCTAATGGACTGACCCGGCTGATGGTAGTTCCCATATTCTGATTGGAACCCATTATTGCTTTGGTTGCTGTTGGTTTGAAGAGTTGCAATCTCAGGGGAAAACCTCTGCATCGAAGACGCGTATTCGGATTTCACATCCTGCTTTGTTGATTCTTGGTAGCTCCATTGTTGTTGTTGCTGGGGCGGTGGTGGTGCCTGTGAAGAAAAGAACAAATTTAAGACCAACAAATTAAAAAAAAAGGGATAAGAGGAGAGAAAATTGAGTTAATTTACATACAGTTGTAACAGTGATGGTAGAAGATTGAAACATGGTTGAGTTGGGTTTTGTTTGTGTCTGGAAAGAGAAATCAGAGAAGTTTTGATCTTCTTTTTTGACATTTTGCTGATTGTTTCCAGAATTGGTCTTCCAATTGAAGGCTTGAGATGGAAATGTTCCTGTTGTTGGAGATGCCAAAATCTGTACACATAAACCAAAATATGCCAACAAAGTTAACAAATCATCACCAACTCCAATCAAACATACCCAATAAGAAAAAAAAAATCAATAATTCACCAACAAAACAACACAGAAAACAGAATCTTATAATTAAACCATACAAATTTATCAAGTCAACCAAGTCTTCCCCTAAGAAAGAGGCTCATTTCTTATAATTACATAAACTATTAAATTCAAAAAACCATACACAACTGAAACATATTCATATATAAAAATTGTTGGAAAAATAATTTGTAATCTTAGTCGAAAAAGAATTAGACTTTTAGGATAAAAGGAAATTTCTAGTTCTAGTTAATTTAGGAAAAATGATGTAATTAGAAAACTAAATCAGTAAGGTTTAAAAAAAAATGATGTAACACGGGTTTAGAACCCATAAATATCGAGTGATTCTCGAAGAATTAAAACACAAAAAAAATAATCAAAAGAAAATTAACAGAAGCTAGCTGTAAGGTTAGTAAAATCATCGTCTTCTGCAAAATTTTCAACTTACGTTAGATGTGTTTAACAAGACGGGGGAATCCAAGAGCTCAGCGGGGCTGAGGCCAGGAGGGATGGAGAAGTAAGAAGAGGGAGAGAAAATGGAAGAGGGGGAGATGGGCAGTGAAGGAGGTTGAATAGACTTGAATTTGGGGACACCGGAGCCATTTCTATCGTCTAAGCCACGAGTGTTACTGATTTCATAATCGTTATCGTGATCGGTAGGATTTGGAGAGGCGAGAAGATCAGTAAAAGAAGTGGCGGACATGAAAGGATGTGTAGAGAAAGTGAAGTTAGAAGAATTGGCAATAGTATCTAAGCTACCAGAAGAAGACGCCATGAAAGGGGAGTCTTTATTACAGAGAGAGGAGGGGAGAGGGTTGAGTTTGTGCAGCGTTCAAATGAATATGAAGAAGACGAAAAGAAGTTGGTCACGTAATGAAGAAGATATAAATTTATTTGGTGAATTATTAAAATATCAAAAATTGGATTTAGGAGGGTTCTGGGAAGCTAAGTGAATGTTTGACCGTTGAAAATTGGGGGGCTGTTTATGTGTTTAAAGAGTTGAGTTTGGGTCAAAGCTCGTGGGTTTGACTGGGTGGCGGCTGACCTCTCAATCTCAAACTTAGATATCTTTTTATTGGTACACGTAATACTTTCTATGAGATTATATTAGGTGAAAAACAATTTCATTCCTATAGTTTGCTCAAAGTACCTTTTACTCCAGTAGAAGTTTTTAGAAAAGTTCTAGTATCAGTAACGTTCTTGGTCCTTAATTCCTTATCATTAACAAACCTCACTGCCTCAGGGATGAAATTGTTACTTAAACCAAACCTAAGGGACCCACGATTATTAAGAAATCATACTAGTTTATAAGTTATTTAGATAAACCTCAGGGACGACATGGCAAGGCCGGCTCAAGGGGTAGGCAGGTGAGGCACCTGCCTAGGGTCCCCAAAAATAGAGCCGAAAAGGGTCAAATTTTTTATAAATTTTTTATAAATATATTAAAAAAAATAGTGTATAATTTCTTATCTAGGTCAATCCAATGGACTCCCAAAAAAAACTAAGACCTAAATTTATTATAAACTTTTTACATATATTCTCACCCGAAGTTTGACGAAATAACAAGTTTGTACCCTAATTTTATATATTCTAATTTACACTCTTAAATTAACACATTGAATTTCTTTTAATAATGAAAGACTAAAATGGGCATTTACATGTCTCAAATTACTCACCCCCAATTCAATCCCAAAATTCAACATTCACATAAATCATCTTCACCCCTCTTCCACCACCGGCCGTTTGGAGCTGATTCCTATCAATTTTCTCACCAAAATTGACCGGAACCATTACTTTATCATTTTCCAAGTGTTTTCCCAGCCTTGATAGCCCTTGATTTGGCTAATTTTTTATGAATCTCGCAACCTAGCTCCACCGCGTGCGACAGCCATTTCTGGCCTTTTTCGGCATGTACTGCCATCGTTGGCCTTCCCCAACAGCACCATTTTCCTTCATTCAACCTTCTCACCAAAACCCCTATCATACCTCATCCATTTACTCTGCCATAACCGGCAACCGATACCTTTTGGGCCGCAACTTCTCAAGTCTTTTCTGGTCAATCCTGGCATTGTTAATCACCCATTTCACCACCTATCACTTCTCCAACATCTATTCTCCAAAACCCCCTACCAACCTAATCCCGTTAGCCCGCCAGTCGTCGTCCACCTCTCCTAGTGATTTTGCATCTCAAAAGGCAGGAG